AACAATCGCAGCATTGAGAGGAACAGGCTATTATTCCAAAACTGCTCTGGCATTTTATGGACCTGGAACAGCTGGGGTGTTATTTTTTATGATGTTGGCGTTGAGACTGGCGGTTTATCTTTCCGTGATGACGGTAACATTGGTTGCATTATATTAATTCATTGTGGGTTACCATGCCATTTATTATTAACTTACGGTCTTCATGATAACAAAGTATATTCAAAACTTTTTTTTGTTTTCAAAAACCTAAAACCCTGTCTAACTTTTTTTTTCTTTGGGGGGGAGGAGACTTTCCTTCATTACTGTTTGGATGAAACACTGAGATCTTGAGGAATGCTAAATTAAGTTGTACTGGCTTAGTAAGACATTGCATGTGAATACAGCATTATGCAGCAAACATATAGAAAGGAAAACTTCCTGTGTATCATAGATAAGCATGCATATAGAAAGCTAACATTGCACTGCAGCGCCATCTACAGTTTAAAAGACAAGTGATCATTATATGCTGTTGCATTCCCAACAATTATCTGTTTCAAGATAGTCAGGGAAGAGCACTCCAAAGCAAGGGAAATACTTTCACTGACAGTTGTCACTGGAGTAAGTGTCCCCTATTCCTGTTTCTGTGACAATTCCACTGATTACCACTGAATGTGTCTTACATTGGTGGTCAGTGGGAAGAATGTTTCTTACATTGGTGGTCAGCGTGAAGAATGCTCCTTACATTGGTGGTCAGCGTGAAGAATGCTCCTTACATTGGTGGTCAGCGTGAAGAATGCTCCTTACATTGGTGGTCAGCGTGAAGAATGCTCCTTACATTGGTGGTCAGCGTGAAGAATGTTCCTTACATTGGTGTCAGTGGGAAGAATGTTTCTTACATTGGTGGTCAGCATGAAGAATGCTCCTTACATTGGTGGTCAGCGTGAAGAATGCTCCTTACATTGGTTGTTAGTGAGAAGAATGCTCCTTACATTGGTGGTCAGTGAGAAGATTGCTCCTTACATTAGTGGTCAGTGGGATGAATGCTCCTTACTTTGGTGGTTAGTGGGAAGAATGCTTGTTGCATTGGTGGTCAGCGGGAAGAATGCTCCTTACATTGGTTGTTAGTGGGAAGAATGCTCCTTACATTGGTGGTCAGTGAGAAGATTGCTACTTACATTGGTTATTAGTGGGAAGAATGTTCCTTACATTGGTGGCCAGTGAGAAGATTGCTCCTTACATTAGTGGTCAGTGGGAAGAATGCTCCTTACTTTGGTGGTTAGTGGGAAGGATGCTTCTTGTATTGGTTGTTAGTGGGAAGAATGCTCCATACATTTGTGGCCAGTGGGAAGAATATTCCATACAGTGTTGGCCATGGGAAATAATTCTCCTTACATTGGTGGTCAGTGGGAAGAATGCCCCTTACATGGTCAGTGGGAAAATCACTCCTTACATTTGTGGTCAGTGGTAAAATGCTCCATACAATGATGGTCAGTGGAAAGAATGCACAATACATTTGTGGTCAGTGGGAAGAATGTACCCCGTGAAGTTAGCTTTGTTGTCAATGACTACTTATTTGAGAAATAGATATTACTCATTGCTCAAGGAACCCCTAACAACCTCTGGAGGAAGTTTGGTTGAGTAAGGCTGGTCTAGAACAGTCAATAACTACTATCCTTGTCGCACTCCTTACTGATATGTCGGGGTGCTTGTTTGGTCATATGACAAAAAACTTCAATAAATGAAGCTTTTGCTATCCTAAAATGATTGGTGTGCTGGTGACATTTCTACAATTTTGGTCTGGAACAGTCGTGCAAAATATCCCTCTACTGCGCTGGCATTTTGGTTGTAAATGTACGGACCGGGACAGGTGAACTGTAAGTACACAATTCCACCAACTTAACTGCACACATTCTGCAAGAACTGGCAGTCGGAGACAGCAGTGCCTTAGATCTAACACTGCTGAATTACAGGTATGAGGCTATAGGCACGGGAGTGCCCAGACACCCTTTCACACCAGGACGTGCACTGCTATTTTTCACTAACCCTAAAGAAGAAAGCAATAAAAAAGTACATTTTCCAGAAAACTGCTTAGTCACAATTAAAATTTCTAGATATTCCCTAAAAGATAGCAAGCATGCTTTTTCGAAGTCCAGGTCCACTTTAAGAAGAACATAACCCCACATATATTTTTCTTCCATCGCTCCTATTTAAAAGGTGGTGTGTAATAACATCTCATACTGTGAGAGAAGAGGAACGTGCCAAGCTGCCCACACTTCCTGAAGAGTCTGTGATTCTGTTTCCCACATCCCGCACAATTGTAAACCAATGTTCCTCTTCCCTGCTCTGTTTTATTTCATCTGAAGAGAACCTGCAATTTATTGAATTTGTTTTGGATGTCTAGAGCCAGCGTATCCCCCAATTAACTCCTTCTCCCCGCTTGTCTCATAATATTGCCAGTAAATGACCCGCTATCTGTTTTTGGATATATATTACTCAACGCTAAGGTGTATAGTACGTCACCGGTCACATAAAATAAATATGCCGTGCAATAATAATAATAATTGCGTAGCTGTAATATTTAAAGCATAACAAACTGTAAATAATATAAAAACTAAAGGAGATCGGTCCCTGCAAATAGCAAGATCCCTTTGTAGATGTGGAAGATGTTAATCAAAATTATTTACAAGGTGAACTCCAGGCAAACAGCAAAATACATATGGGGGAGCTGGTTTACCTGCCAAAGGATTTGTAGTTCTATCCGTTCAGTCCAATGATTTACTGTTAGGGTGACACCCCCTGACAGGTGACACGGGCTTCCCTGAGGGGCGGAGTCTAACTACCAGCCGGTGTTCACCAGAGCACCTGATGGTGGAAATGGGCTTGGCTGCTGGCTGGTATCAGGTTGCGCATCCCAGGGTTGCCCTGCCAAGGGATGGACGAGAACAGGAGGGCTCCAATGAGGAGGCAGTAGTAAGATCCAAGCAGAGTTCAAGGCAGGCGGCTAGTAGAGTGTAGTCAGATGGTTCCAGGTCAGCAACGAGTAGTCAGAGGATAAACGCAGGAGACAAGAGCAAAGTCGGGTCCAGGCAGAAGATCAGGGCGGGCAGCAAGCGAAGAAGGGTCAGATAGTCCGGGTCAGCAATGACAAAACAACAGAAGTATAAGCTCTTTAGACAAACAGGAAGCTGGCAAAAAGACACAGCACCAGCTCCTTGCAGAGCTAGTGCTTAAATACTCTTCTGAATCAGAGACGGCATGCCCAGCCTCAGGGTACACTGGAAGTCCTGGTCTGGAATCTTTTACTATTACTAGCCATACTGGCCTGGATAACCATTGGTGCTCTGTACCACAAGCGATTGTAACAGAAAAAATCAACAAAAGAATTTAAAATACATTTTAAATATTTTTCTTTAAGTGGACCTTTACCCTTATCTTTAAAATCACAACAAACACACCTTTAGAAATGTTTAGTAATGACAATCTACAAACAGATACTTCTAGATAATTGCCGACTTTGTATTCTTTGCATTCCTTTTTTCTCTTTTCTTCCCCATTCTTCTGTCAGTGGCCATGTTTACTAAGGGCAGATTACTAGATCTCATTTTACTTCCTGGATGTGACTAGACATGTGACTAGGACATGTGACCATGCACATCATCTCAGGGGAGGAGAATGCCTCTCCCTGAGATCTCCTGAGATCACATATGAGATTTCCCAGCAATGCTCTGCTGATGACAAGGCAATCCCAGTGTGCATTGCTTTGCCAAACTGAAGTCATTTTGCCCTTTCAAAGCAGGAGGTGAATGCTCTGCAAGTGTAAGTATTTCACAATCACAGCATTTTACACCTGACATGTCTATGTTATTATTAATCATCATACATAGAGGGATGCATTGGTAGAATGTGATTTTTGAGTGTAAGGCCTGGTTCACACCTGGGTGTATTAGTGAACGCGCTGAAAAACGCCCTACGCCCAAAGAAGTATGGGAGCTTCTTCATTAGGATACAGCCGGATAGCCCTCGTAAACGCACGTTTGTCGCGCGTTTATTTTACTGCAAATCGCGGTAAAAACGTGCGGCGCTCCAAACGCGCATATTCCGTACGCCCAGGTGTGAACCCAGCCTAAAGGTCCGCTTTAAATCCAAACATATAATTACTTTTTTAAAGTATTTTTTGATCAACAGAACCAATCTAACTGGCTCATTTGGGGGTCAGGAAGGAGTCTTCCTCTGGAAGCAGGGTTGGTTAGATTGGCCAGGGGTTCTTGTTTTGCTTTCCTCTCAACCAGGGGTACTGAAATATTTGGACAATTCTCTTTTTTATTTTTAATTCTCACATCAATTTACAATTACAATTTACGATTTACATAATTGTTCTGAGTCAGTGGCTGACTAAGTGATGAATCCTGAGGATCAGTATGCCGGCCATGTATTTTTAAAGAGGAACTTTCACCCATATCTTAAAAATAACAACAAAGACACCTTTAGAAATGTTTAGTAATGACAATCTACAAACACATTCTTCTAGATAATTGCCGACTTTGTATTCTTTGCATACATTATTTTTCCTTTCCTTCCCATTCTTCTCACAGCAGCCAATTACACTTAGGGCAGATCAATCCATCTTCCTTTACTTCCTGGAACTCTGAACCTAGATCATGTGACAGAGCACATCATCTGAGGGGGAGAAAAATGCCTTTCCCCCTGAGATCTTGCAAGATTTTGCAGTTTAGAGGTGAGATTTCCCAGCAAGGCACTGATTATGTTCCAAGGATGCATCTGTGAGTCCAGGGGCTACATCACCAGTGCCCCACTGCACTAGGAAGTGGAAAAACAGTCATTTTTAACTAGAGAATGTAAGATGATTTCATATCAGCATGCAGAGCTGCATGCTGATGTGTTTTTTGGTAAAAGGAGGTAAAGAGTTTAAAAGGTTTTTAAAAAAAAATCTATATTCTCAATAAATTGTTTGTATATTTTTTGTACTTTTTTAATTTCTCTTCCAACAATTTGTTTTTCAGGTGATGTTGGGGAAAATGGGGATATTGGGGAGATTGGAAAACCAGGAAAAGAAGGTCCTATGGGATCAAAAGGTAAAAGAGATTAGAAGAATATTCTCACTGTATATAGGTGGAGTGTAATTTGATCTGTAAAAACCTTTTGATGTGTTAAAGTAAACTCCAGGCACATATAAAAAATACAATTTAATGCACCTCTGGATTCAATAAAAAACATTAAAACTGAACTCCGGTTATCATTTAAAAATACATTTTAGTAAGGGTCTATTGCTTCCTTCATCTAGGGGATTAAAAGCAGAATACAGTAAACTCTCAGTTATCCGTCATCAGCGGTCATTGGTATGTGCTGGATAACTGTAGTTTCTGGTTGCTTGAGAGTTAATAGTAACTCTGAAGCAGATGAATGGGCCCCCGGCGAGAGGGGGGGGGGGGCGAGGGTTGGTTGGAGGGTCCCCTGCCCCTAAATGTACAGTGTAGAATTGTTGGTGCTTTATTGTACATGATGACGATGACGAAGGAGTGGCCACACAACTGGTGAAGAAGAGCGGCTTCTAGGATCTGGTCATCCATCCCAAGAAATAGAGTAAATAGGGTATTCCTCTGCTTTACTCCCCCCCCCTAGACTAAATGAGTGGTAGATCCTAGACATGTGCCATTTGTTTTGGAAAAATGTGTTTTTCAGACGAATTTTCGTTATTCGGATGTATCCGACTTTCTGAATAACAGAAATGCCGAATAAAAACGAATTCGAATTTCCGAAAATGAAATTTCGGACGAACTACGTTAGCGGTAGTCTGTACGAATTTTCGTTTGTGGGCGAATTTTCGTTGCAGCAAAGTGACATTAAAATTTTTTTTTATTAATGTCACTTTGCTGCAACGAAATGAAAACGAATATTCGTACAAACTGCCGCTAACGAATTTCGTCCAAATCCGAATCCCGAAATGAATTGACTTTCGGACCCGAATTTCGAAAAACAAAATAACGCAAAATCCGAATCAAAACGAAACTAAACAGATTTTTTGCAGGTGCACATGTCTAGTAGATCCTTATGGAAGGGTGGCACCCAAAAGTTATTTTTGAAGGTTAACCAGAGTTCAGTTTTTAACGTATTCTAAATTGGTGCATATTTAACTTCACTTACAGTATACAGTAAGTACCTGGATTTTATCTTTATTTTTATCCTCTTGTAGTCTACGTACAGTAGTGATCCCAC